ATATTAAAGTGGCAATGGTGGCGAAGGGCTTAAGAGAAAAGTATTTGGAAATAATATTTATGCCTCCCAATTTTAATATTACATAGTACCTCTCTATGTCCAATGTTTTAATCCGTTATGTACGTATTATTTCTATTAATAAGTGTTTAATAAACTTATATTAATTATTTGATCTTTATTAATCTCAACCAGTCCTTTCTCACTTAGAGGAGTCCATTGCTCACCAAGTCTCGGCTAGTCTATGTCGATTAAGTCTCAGTCAATCCATTACCTACTGGTATCCATTGTCGAGCAAGTATCGACTAGTCCCTACCAACTAAGTCTCGGTTAGTCTCTTCTCACTTACAAGCGTCCATTGTCGAGCAAGTCAAGTCAAACCTCATAGCAGGTCCATTTGGTTGCTTCCACATGGTTGAGCAAACCTCGTAGCAAGTCTATCCTTCTGCTTCAAACGCAAGCAAGCCAAACCTCACGATTGGTGCATTCTCTAGCTTCCACGTGGTTGAATAGATCTTGGCATGCATATTCTCCGGCTTTAACACGGTCGAGTCAAACTTCCCGACAATTCCATTTATTCACTTCAACATGGTTAAACTGAACTCCCTAGCAAATACCTTCTCCGACTTAAGAGCAATCGAACCAAGCCTCCTACATCAAACGATCCACCGCCCCAAATTGAAATAAGCAGACACCCCAATAGAGGGATACCATTCGCCTCACAAACAGTTGATCGTCGAAAACCAAGTCCAAGCCAACCTTCCTTGGCCCTGTCTCGACCATCCCTACCAAGTGTACCTCGCCCAGCCAACATGGGGCCAACTTGATGTGGTAACCCACCCAACTTACCCGACCCACAGAAGCCCCAAGCCGTGCCCCGCGATTCTCTTGTGGCACAACTCCTTTGGAGGGAGCAAATGATATAGCATATTTTGGTATCCACCTCACACGACATGTCAGTTACCACTGTAGACTCAACGTGGTATCCCTAAGCCGACATGTTGTATTGAGCCAACTCAGTGCCATGAGCCCGAGGCTAGCCAACCACTTGACACAGTTCCTATGCACCCGCTTTGCTCGAGGCCGTATGAGGCAACACAACCATGTATTGGGCCACATAGGAGGTAGGAAGTAGTGTCGAACGAGATTGAATCGAGTAGATTAGACAATGCATACACCCAACATATGGGCCAACTACCTACAACGTCAACAGGAATTAAACACTCACGTACGATGATGACCAGGGATCATTAAAGCTGCTATGTATGATCACATGTAGGAATATGTATAAAAGCGACCCCAGGAACAGCATTGGGGGTCGGACCTCATACACATAACTCCAACTCTTGCTAACTCAAATATTGAAGAGATCGAGTCCGGAATCCCTCTCTTGATTCCAACCTTTATATAGGTACCCAACGGATAGCTAAAGGAGTGATCTTCAACCTTCGCTTAAGAGAACGAGGTCTATGCCCCTCAACTAGACCTCGGGTTAACATGCTCCAGCTCAGAGACCATACCGATAATCTTATGCACTCGAGATGGGCCAAACTGTGATGCTAAGCTGGACTCATTAATATTCGTGAAGACTATGTGATTCATGGTCATAAGATATGAGACAAGCTTATATGACGACATGGTTATTGCATGCCGGTTGTGGATGTTAGGTGTCCACAGTCACCATCTCGACCGTGCAAACAAAACGAAATTTCCCATGATTAACGTAATTTCTTTTTTAGTCTCAACCTCGATCTCATGATCTCAATCATCACGTTATCGATCTCATGATTACCGCTATATTTAGATATTTTTAGTATTTTAATTTTTAGATTTAAAAATTATATATTAAAATTTTTATAAGTAAATCGAGTTAGTATCCCAATCCATATAGAAAATACTTATAATTAGATCTTTTATAGGATCTTTAAGATTAAAAAGTATATTAATTTTTATAATTAAATATTCTTAGTATCCCAATCCATATATAAAATCCTTATAATTAGATTTTTAGGATCTTTAAGATTAAAAAATATATTAAAATATTTATAATTATAAAAAATAATAATTAATTTTATTTATTCTAACATCTTCATTTTACCGATCGAATAAGCATTTACTTACTCCAAGACATTTGAGGACATTTGATGGATGCATCTGATCACGGTCAACGTTAGTTGTGGGCCATGGTACTTGTTCTGCTTAGCTTTTATTGAAGACTTCCTCCGCAACTACTACAGTCAACTCACGGAGTCGCTATCTCTGCAATAGCGTTTATTGCGCTTAATACATGGATTCATCACAGCAGCATCGGACCAAGTCAAGGGTCTCTGGTTGTAGCAGTCCAAGTAGTCTCCATAGCTCACCGCTAGAATGTGGCTGTAGCTGCTGTAGAAGCAAAGGGTCTCTGGTTGTAGCAGTCCAAGTTGTCTCCGTAGCTCACCCCCAGCAAGTCGCAGTACCTCTTGTAGAAGCCGATCCTATCCGCCACCCTGGCATCGTACCCTTTCCCGCACTCCAACCCTCCATTGATGATGTTGGTGGTGACACCGTAGCCCGGACGCCTTCCGGCCGCCTGGTCGGCGTTGGATGGCGTCCACCTCCCGGTTATCACGTCGTGGCACGACGGCTTGGGCGACTGAGGAGTCATCCAGAACCACAGAGCCGTCTTGAAGGAGATTGTCGCGTCGGTGGCCACCAGGTCTGGGTTGTTGAGCAGGTCGGAGCCGATGGCTCTCCCGGCTGGCCCGTAGTTGTAGTTGCTGCACGCAGAACACATCGGATTGTTGCGTTAGAAAGGCCATCGTTGTGAACTCGATCGCGGCGATGAACTGTAAGAGTATGGCTTACAATGAGATTTGGATGGGGCCTCGGCCGTAGTACTTCTTGCCTGCAGCGCACGGCCACTGCGAGCTGGCGACGCAGTAGTCCGATGGGGGGTTCTGTTCCTGGACGAAGCAGTAACCCCACGCGTACGGACCATCGGGAGCCGTCGCCCACCCACCTGCCAAAACCAATGCATTCAGCTCTCCATCCATTAACAGTTTACGAGCCTCGGGAGATGTACGAATTACCTGTCGTCTCGTGAGACGTCTGCGCCAAGAAAGCCGCGATCTCCCTCTTCCTCGCGGTGTCGTCGCCGGTCGTCCCGAACCCGCTGAAGAAGTTGGCGGCGGCGATGAAGGCGGTGTACGTGTAGAAGCCCTTGCCGGGGCAGGCTGCGTCGTTGCGATGCTTCAGCATCTGCTCGAAGAGGGAGGAGCTGATGATCGAGTCCACGCTGCCACCGCCGCTACCGCCGCATTGGCTCTGGCAATCTTTGCCGCAGTATGGATCCGTGTTACCGCACCAGCCGTACTGGCTACAGCACAGCCCACCGGGGCAGAGAGCCCCCCCGGCTTGCCTTCCGCATTGCTCGGCGAAGGCGCCGAGCGACGAGGCCAGGGTAAAGATGACCAACAACAAGGCCTTCATCCCCCTTAGCAGTGGTGGTGGTGGTGGTGTGGGTGGGATGCGGTGCTTATATAGAGAAATGGATTCCTGCCCGCTGTGAAGCTTCCTATGGACCAAATGAGGTGAATGTGGGAAATCGCAGAGGCGAGTCTTTGGATAAGAAGTCCTGTGACCAAGTCTACAGATTGCGTGTTGGATACGGCTTCTCATCTATTGCTATCTGTGACATTAATGTTAGTAGCTCATTAGTCGACAAACAATTGCTCATGGACAAGAACAGTCAAGAGTGGCGCTTCCTTCTCTCTCTCGCTCCTCTTTTTCTTGTGTGTGTCTCTTTCACCACTAGGAAAAGTTTCTTCGGCCTCTGCCAACTTTCCACCACGTTTATTTGGGTTTCCTGACTCGTGTTGTACCTCCAAACAATCAGGAAATATTTCTTATTGCACTTAAATCTATATAAAAAAAGGATTTAAATATTATAATCCATCAATTGTACTTAAATCTTTGAATTTTTTTATTATTAAAAATATATTATTACTCATCATACATCACATGATTTGATGATGATATACCATATTCATTTATTAAGGTTTAAAAAAATAAAAATCAAGTTGTTAAGTTTTTTATATACAAATATTGATCACAATAAAAACCCTAAGATCTAACCTACCTTCACCATTTATCATTTTTTAAATATTTTATTAAAATTAATAATAATAATAATAATAAAATTCAATTAAATTGGAGAAGTGCTTATCTGAAAATGAATTCTTTTTTTATTGCGAATTGGGAGACTAATCCTTTGTTTCCTCCAATCGGTGCCGGCGGCCGAATGGTCGAGTCAATATAAGATAAGATCTTTCTGCACGGTGTTGGAATTATGTTGATGAGGGTGACATTGAACTTAATGGTCATCGCCTTACTTCAATCATCTTATCGGATTCCAGCTTGATTAATTGCTTAGAAAGTCGAGCACATGAACATGTTGCCATCCTAGCCATCGTGCATGTCCACCTAATTTATTAGATCCTTGGACCAACTAAAGTTCATCTTCATCATGTTAAGGTAAGTTTCGATCATTAGTTTGATGTGGCGAAGCTAATTCGATTTGGTCTAAATTTTTTTAGTGTTATCGTCTCTGAAGGATGGGAAAAAGTTATGTTTTCATAATCACGATTTTAATTATGACCACCGTGATATATTGACATTACATCATTTTCCCATTCGATAATAGGACGAAAGCATATCGACTATTGTGGACTGTGAACTGTGGTAAACAATACAACTCAGGCGTCGAGGAAGGGGTCATCGAACAATCAAGCTGACCTACGATCCCCTTTTGTCGACCCCTACGAGCGACAACCCGTAGGGGAGTCACTCGACTAACAGGCGACGCCCTTATTGTTATCCTATATAAATAACACACTGCAATGGACTATACTGGCCAATCATCTATATAAATAAGACATAAGAGAATGACGTACAAATAAGAAGCCTGTCAGTCATGCCCCTTAGTTTCCAAGATATAAGATTCAGTCCTTAATGCTTGAGTAGGGGATTGGATCGCCAATACTTAAGATTCACTAACTTGACCATAAGAGGAGTCGTGTTGAAAAATCCCTCTTAGCATCGATCTTTGTGCATGACCCTGAGGAGACCAAAACCCATGCTGAACCACAATGGCCACCTCGTTCTCGATATCGACTTTCTTCTCTTATTGCCACGAGAGTCAATTGGACAACTCTATACCTTTGGGACAAGATTAAGTTGTGACAATCTCTTATTGACGACATCAAGGCAATAATATTTTGATGCTAGAATAAGGCCATAAGCTCTTAGCTCCCCTATGGAGGGAACATTGATAAATATATTTAGTTCCATATTGTTTGATAAGTATATGAACTAAGGGCTTATAAGCATCTGGCATAACTCCCATTTTTAAAGACTTGGGGCTCATGAGTCTTAAAATGATAAAATTATGTAAACACATTCATTGTGGCATGCCTCAAACCCTTCAAAGGTCCTTAGGATGAGATTGAGCCTTTGAATGGCTTAAGGCAACAATAATATTGTTTAGAATAATAATATATTTGATGAGATTTTTTATATAATATTTATTTTGTAATTGTTCAAGTAAGTGACAAGTAGAGGATTTTAGTTATATAAGTTATATTTGTTGAATCTCAGATTTTGATGATGAAACCAATTGATAGTATTTATGATTTGATCTGTGTTTTGAGTGATGCAGGATACTTCAATCAGGAAGAGACAATTAAAGCAGGAAGAATCATATTGAGCGCGGAGGAAAACATATCTGAAGATTGGACGTCAGGCTAGAGGATCGGTCGACGTATCGACAGAAGGCGTTGGGCCATAGATTTGGGCATCAAGCCAAGAAGAATGAATATTGCGCTAAGGATATCAGAGCTGCGGAGGTCAACTGGCCGATTGGACAATAGATCGCAAGAGAGGACGGTGCGCCGAAGAATCGGATGAAGCGTCGATGGACCAATGACATGCCTGACAACATGATTCATGCTTAGTAATAATTGTCTAGATCAAAGTGTATTTTTATGTGTATAGGATTAACTACGGTGGCAAGGTATAAAGCAAAATGATATCCCTGAGTCAAGAACGTGATTTCGTTAGGAGTATGAGAGTTCGTCGGAAGTCTATACGTTCATCGGAAGTTCTGCCGGAATTGATCGAGAAGTCCTGGAGCTTGCCAAAGAAGCTCGTCGGAACTCGCCAAGAAGATAATCATAAAGTCTAGGAACTTGTCGGAAGTCCACTAGAACATTGCCGAGAGATCGTCGAAAGTTCGTCGGAAGATCATCGGAAGAAACCAAGACTTACGGACTTTGTTTAGCTTAGTAAATATCTTAAAATTTATAGTTAGCACATAATAGAGATTAGAATTGGGCCAACCCAATTAGGGGATAGTTGGGCCAAGAAAAAGACCCAAACAATAACCAAATAGGTGAAATCGTCGTGGCACAATCTCCGAGATTGTGTCAGGTGGTGGTACTGCCTAGACTCAGTCTCCGAGACTGTTTGGGCGGTGGTATCGCTCGTACCTTGAAATTTCAGGGGTTTGAATTTTGGGCTCCAAATTTGAATCCATTTGGGGCTTATAAATACCTCAGCTATTTCTGCATGGATAAACAAGAAATATTAAGCAAAACCCTGTGATTCCAAAATTATAAACCTTAGAAAGTTGAGTTCCCTCCTCCCAAAGCTCAAAGAGAGTTTTAAGGAAGGTGTGAGAGGGATAGTTTGTAAAAGAGGGTTGTAAAAGATTATCTCCTAAATATGTGAAAAGGAGAAGAGGAGTGTAAAAGGATAGTTGGTCTTCGCTCATTGAAAAAAAGACCGATAGTGGATGTTGGTGGCCTCGACGGAAGAGGAATCGACGAAGTGAATGTAGGTCACGATGACCAAACCACTATAAAAATCTGGTTTGCGTTTCTCTTGTGTAATTTACTTTACTGTAAACCACTTTACTTGCTTTACATCTACTATGCTCTTCCATACGCTTTCAAAGTTAATACATTTACGAAACGGTTTTTTGTCGGAAATCGATTTAATCGCAACGAAGTTTTGAACCGACGTAATTTTTACCGTTGCACTAATTCACCCCCCTCTTAGTGCCGACTCTTTTCTTAACAATATTATGCCTCAGTGTCTTCAAATATTTTAATCTTGCCTTTGGTATATGTTATTTCTGTTAACAAGTGTTCGATAAACTCATATGAACTTAAAAATTATTCTTCATTAATTTCAGTAATGATTTGATCTTTATTTTTACATATTCTAAAAGGGGATATTAGTGTTGAATTTTAACGTCCTTATGTTAATGATAAGTTGACAAAGATTAACAACAATAGTAAATTTTGCCACATACCCAATTGCATGAATCGTAAAAGAAAATGATGTTTGTTTTGGACTATCAAAATCTCATTTTTGTACTTTGGGAATAAATTCATAGTCTACTTTTGTGGATTATTATATGACTAAATAATTATTTTGTCAACTCTAAAAGAAGCATTAACTACTTATACAATCCATACTCTAATAGTGAGTTCATTTTTATGAGTAAGATGTAAAATATGTAGATTTCCTCCCTATTTATAAATTGCAATTAAATATGTAGCATTCTAAATTAATAATATGAGTTATATTTATTGATTAATATCCTAAATCAAACTCTATTCTTAGTTAATATATGCAACTAACATAATTTTTTATAAAAAATATTTATATAAATATATAAAGTAAAAAATTATTTTTTTAAAAATAAATATTACTATATAAAAAATGTATAAATATTGATTCGAGCCTATCAACGATGCAATAATATACATTAATCACTACATAATTGAAATTTACATATGAAAAGAAATCACTCTCTTAATGGTGCATTGTATCTGAGAAGATTACTGTGATGTCATTTCTATCAATCATGACATCCGCTCCGAATGATCTTGGCCGTCCATTCCCCCGCTGGTCCCCACAGCAAAGCGGTCCCCGGTGGGTCAACATGATGAAGGACGATTCCGGTCCTCCGCCCATGGCTTGAGTCGGTGCTACCCCACTCAAATTTTCGCTTCCATGGCCCCAACGTTCCACGAGTCACCTTCTTCGCTTCTCACCTTCGGTGACCCGAACCAACTTATTCAGAAAACGCATAGTGGCAAACAATATTGTTTCCCTTCCCGTCCCTCGCAAACTAACACGATGAGTGTTTAAGTGGAACCCACCACAAGGTATGGACTAGTAAAAAGGTAGGTATTCTATTGGGTTATGTTGTTGGGGATTTGTAAGAATAAAAGCTGACAGTCGGATTTCACTAGGGATGACCACTAGCAAACACCAGTCTCCATCAACAGGTTACCGTTGCAACTCCGCCCCCTCTAACAACGCTGCCCTCCTTCCCCACTCCGCCCTCTCTTTCTCTCTCACACGCTCACTCCATCTCCGCCTGCTATTGCTACCGCAATCGAAATGGCTTCGGAGGCCAAACCGTCGGCCGTTCGAGCGGTCCGGAAGCTGATGGGAGCGGGCGCATCCGCCATCCTCGGCCGCGGCTTCAACTCCTCGAAATGGTTCGGCGTCTTCCGTTCTCTTCCTTCGTCGACTCGTCTCCATCTCCTCGCTTCTTCTTTGCAAGATCGGGAGATCTTTTTATTCTTTCTGGACTTGTCGTGTGTCGGTCTCTCATCTTTCGGTTTGGGGTTTTCTGTATCCTCTTTCAGCAAGACGGAGGCGAAGATGGCGACGGCGCGGATAAAGCTGCTGCGGAACAAGCGGGAGGCGCAGGTGCGGCAGATGCGGCGCGACGTCGCCATGCTTCTCGAATCCGGCCGCGACGAGACCGCTCGCATCAGAGTCCGTACCCTCTGTTCCCATCCCCCATCTCGTTTCCTTCTTTTGTTAGTATTACGATCCGGATCTTGCGGCTGCCGTATGGATCCAAGATTTGGGGTTTTGCTTCGCTTGTTAGGTTTCGTTAAGGAAGAATGGGATGGGTTTCATCTACAACAAGAACAACAGGTCCTCTGTTATGACATCGAACTTGTTCTAGACAAATGTTTCAGACAACAAATAGGAATCACAAACATCTCAATGGCCATTGGGTTCTATTGAGTGCAATATCAAGTCAAAATAAGCTATAAAATCCTTTTTGGTCGTTTATAACGAAAAGTTTCTTCAGCTTCTGCATCTCCATCTTTTGTCATATGTTCTTAATTTAAAATGTAGTGAAGTAATTATAGAGATATTTTGTGCAGTTGATTGGACAAAAAGTTCAACATTCTTGAAAAGATGGATGGAACACACAAATTTTACTTATTGTGCCTTTTTGGTCTTTTACATATAACTTGTGTCTATGATTTAGGTCCAAGATTCATGTCTAGGTTTTGGCTTTTTACAAAGCAGCAATTTAGGTTTGGGTTGTCAAGTGTCTTCTGTTATTGCTTCAACTTTGATCCAGACAAAGTATTCCAGCAACAAATGCACGACCTCAATGGACTTTATTTTTTGTTAACAAATGCATGGCCTCACTGGACTTTATTTTTTCTTAACTGTGCTACTTATTGATTCTTGTGGTTATTTTTCATGAACATCTAATGATGGTGCCAATATCAACATCTTTTTGAAGATGACTTGCTTATTAGTCTCTCTAGGTGGATTTACATTAATCTCCAGCATTATGCTTTGTATTAGGTCTTATTAAATGCAGTGGAATCTTCAAATGTCAAAGTTCTTCCTCTTGAAACATACAACCCCGTCTGTAGAATAATTGTTTCTATTCTATTTAAGCAATATATTATGTCTTTGGACATATTTTATATACCTTGAAGTATCTGTCCTGTTTGAGTCTGATCAATATAACATATTTCTTTTTTACTTCTTGAAGCATCATCTGTTATCTTTTTTCAAATTAGTGCTTCTTTATCCTTAATCATAAAATATATATTTATGAAATATATATGTTCTTTCTGAAATTTTGTATGTTCATCAGTAAAAGATTTTTCATACCAGAAGCTCTTTTTTGAATGCAACATTATGCTGAATTTGCTATTCTGGATACCAGGTTATACTTGATTTTCATTTTCTACAGTGTAACTGTTGACTTGTCATTTATATTTGCAAGTGTCATCGTTTTTTCAAAATTATTTAGCATTCGCTTTCTTCTTGCCTAAGCTTTCTCTGTTGACTCATCCTTGTGCTAATTCATCTGAATCTGGTATTTAAAACTTGGTAAATGCCTTATAAATCATTCATTGCATGCATCTCATTTTGAATTTTCGCTAAGTTCTTAATGTAGTGACCATGCTAGGTGTTGGTTGGATGAACTAGTCACATATGCAACTGGTCTCAAGTGCTAGGTGTTGGCAACAGGGATATTTTTCTGTCAGTGAGCATTGTTGAGGCATTATCACTAGACAAATTAAAATTACGAAATCTTCTTTTATGGGTTTTGGTAGAGCTATAATGACTTAAATTTAAAATATTTGTAACAACAATTTTTTTTTTTTTTTAAATTCTGCCTTTGAGTTTCTTGTCATATGTTATTTAAGTCAGAATCTGGTGAAGTATTTTTCAGATTTTTTTTAATGCCTAATCAGAGATCATAAAAGTAACTGCAATACAAATTTAAGCAACAGTTTCTTGTTATGCTATACTGATTCATCAATATTATTGTAGGTTGAGCATGTTATTAGAGAACAAAATGTTATGGCAGCCAATGAGATCATTGAACTTTTCTGTGAGCTATTAGTGGCTCGCCTTCCTATCATTGCAAAACAAAGGTTTGTTCAATTTGCTTTTAGTCAACAAACTATATAGAAGTTATTCTAATTCTTTTCGTTATTTTAGGATTTGCCCACCAGATTTGAAAGAAGGTATTTCAAGCTTGATATATGCTTCACCAAGGTGCTCAGAAATTCCGGAACTTAGCAGAATTGTTCATATGTTTGAAAAGAAATATGGAAAAGATTTTGTATCTGCTGCAACAGATCTACGACCTGAGTCTGGTGTAAACTGCATGGTAACCACTTTTATTCTCCCAAGACCCATTGGTGATTATTGTATTTTTTACATAACATTTTTTTCTCTGCTGTCAGTTGTTTGTTTTTATAACATACTAGTGTTCGCCGACATTGTTCTTTAATATGGAAGAGGTAGGTACAATATCCCATCTGTTGACAAGCCTAAGCGTAAAAGAATGCCATGCTCTCATGAGTGCTGATTTCTGTTTTTTATTCATCCAACTTGCCCATCTAATTTGTCGGAGCAACACTATAGAGATGACTGTCCTGGAAAGTGCAAAATATATAAAAGGGGGCAGATTTATGAAAAGTATCAGGAGGCTGGTATAGCTATTTCACTGAGTTGCATGTTAGAGTAGCTTCACATTTCCGCCCTAATATTTTTGTGATGGGTTGTTGAATTTTTAGTTGTACGTGAAAATGAGATGGCTAAATCATGAACCTCAAATGAAGCTTCCCACTCATGAGTCTGTGCTGGTCTCATTTGAAGGCAGGCTGATTTTTTCACATGCATATGTCGACATATGTTTCTATGTACTACACATTAGTGTATTATTGTGAATGTATACGTGCATGTACACAAATACTGTCCGATCACAAATATTTCTAATATCTATGATTCTATAATTCAATATACCATATCATTCAAGCTCGCGCTGATATAGTGCCAATACATAGCACATGCCACCCAGCTGGAAAGGTGGGGAATTAAAAACAATATAATGCCCCCTGCTGCAACACTGAATCTTCTAATTGTTTGATTTATTCTTATACTTCCTTTTGCATGCATCTATAATATATTTTTAACAAGTATCAAGTTCTTACACGTTCTCTATTTGTAGCTTATTGAGAAGTTATCAGTCAGGAAGCCAACTGGTGAAATTAAGCTGAAAGTCCTCAAGGAAATAGCAAAGGAGTATCGGGTTACGTGGGATGCGGCAGAGTCTGAGCAGGAGCTTCTCAAACCTCCAGAGGAAGCTTTAGTATGTTGCAAAAGCTGTGTGTGTGTGTGTGTTTGCGCCTCTGCATGTGTACTTGCTTACGATTGCATAGTGAATTGACAAAATTATATGAATATCTATTTTTAATTTACAGGAAGGACCATGCACCTTCACTAGTGGTGCAAGCTTCCCTGCTAAACCTACATTGCCACTACATGACATACAACCAAACGAACATTATATCAGGTTTCATCTCTCCTTCTGTTTTAACCAATTGATAAATGCTTCTTAAACTTATTTTTATGCTGCTTTTTTTCATAGGCCTAACAACAACAGAGAAGGTTCTATTTTGCAATTCAATGATCCCATGTCGGCTGCTGAAGCTGCTGCAGAGTCTGCAGAGAAAGCAATTCAGGCTGCACAAGCTGCAGCTCATCTTGCCAATCAGAATTCTCATTCATTTGATCAGCCAACGCAAATGGACACCTTGATATGCAATCTCAACAAATTTAATCAGCCAGAGAGACTGCAGAGACAGTCTCTCAGTTCTTGTCAACCATATGGAACAAATGATCTTTCGGAAAATGAAGTCAAGCCCCCAGGAAAGTTTTTCAATTCACAGAGTTTCAATTGTTCAAACAATATGGATGATGACAGCATGGATACTGTCAACCTGGATGAGAAAAGAATACTGAGGAGGAACAGCTGCACAACACATACTGCACATTCAGACATAAAGTTTGATGATTCAGATGGACTCGAATCGGATACCGATGAAGAACTTGAGATGGATTCACCTCCTCTGGAGAGTCATCGCCCACCAAGTAGGCCTCCTCCTGTGTTGCCTTCGCAACAGGTTCATTCTGAAGAATCATATGCTGATAGTCACCAAGAGTCATCAAAGAAAAACTCAGGTACTCATGTTCATCCAAAGTTGCCTGATTATGAAGCTTTAACTGCCCGCTTCGAAGCACTAAAGTCGCGGAGGATCTGAGTTATACTGTTAAAACATCTACAACTGAGTGCATTCATCTCTCCTTCATTTACTGCAGACCGAAGCTAAAGCATCTTGATTGCATACTCTACAGTTTCCTCACATACATCTCTAGTCCCTTACATGTGTTCTGTGTAAGTCCCATTTGGCATCTTACTAATAAATGAAGCTGTTCAATTTACATATTATAATAATCTCATAAAATTGTTATTCATGCGTCATTTGTCCATTATATACCTGTATCTCTTACTGTTCTCTATCATGTTGTCTTCCTTCTCATTATCAAAGACCTAAGTAATATTTACAGGAAGTACTCGCATATTCTGTGTAGTCTCTTTAATTACTGACATAGTTAAGGTGAGTACGAATCTTAGATTGAGCCAAGAGATTAGACTAACACCAAGTTGGCTCAGATGGAAGCTTTAGCACTGATTAGAAGATAGCCTTTGTTTTAGGAAATGGTAATCTTCATGGAAGCACTGTGCTTGTCTTGTGCATTTATAGTTAACATATTGTAAATATAATTCTAAATCGTCTACCCTACCATTAAAGACCATGGTTTATGGTGTTCCTCAAGGATTTAACACCCTAAGCATTATGCTTTGTTCAATAGATTGGTACTCAATACATGGTAGATCTCTGATCGAGAGAAGCTGCTGAAATCTACAGTATAACAAACTAATGATACAGAGCTTATGATAATAATAAACTGTAGGTGTTCTTGGATTTATTTAACAGCACATGCTTGTGGACTTGGAATCATTAGCATCTACTGAGTAGAACTTGACTTCTTTTCTGATCCACTGGTAGAATCTGTTTGTGGTTTTGTAGAATCAATTGATCCAGAAACAGTAGGAGTGTTTGATTCTGGTTGACTAATTATTGGCTGGTCTTTTGTGTCTTCTTGTTGGGCTGACTGAGTATTTTTAGGTACTTGTTGACTAGTTGATGAGTCATGCTGTTCTTGTTGAGGTGTTCGAGTTGAAGCTTGTTCACCTTTCGATGGGGTAGAAGAAACTGTTTGAGGACTATCTGCTTGTCGAAATGCCTCTGTTGCGACTATTTGAGGATCTTGCTGGGCCTTGTCAGGAGTAGATTGTTGAGCACCTGTTGATGTAGCCGGTTTTGGTTGGGTGCTTGGTGTGTTAGCTTTTTCTTCTTGAGTAGTAGACTTGTCATCAACAGTGGTTCCTGTTGCTTGATTGGCTGGCGGTAGCTGTGGCCAAGGCATGGAAGCATCAGGAGAAGCTGGTGCTTTGGAAATCCCTGAAGTGGGTACCTGTTCGCAAAGGAAGAACAAAGGTTTGATCATCCAGCCTAATCTAATTGATTGCTTGAATGATTAATAATATATCCTACATAAGAAGTATAATTTACATCTGTATTAGTTTGAGTTGCTTGATTGGTGGCAAGATTGAGGGTAGGTGGTTGTGTTGTAGGGTTAGAAGAAACATCTGCAGATGGTGTAGTTCTGCTGGATGGAGAAGCAGATTCGTTGGAAGTCTTCCTAGTAGACGTCAGTCCTGTAAAAGGCTGGTAAGAGAAGCAAGTTATTGAGCATGTAGAAATGTAAGTTGACTCCAAATAATTGTTGGGACTTACTTCTTGTGCAGCAGACTTTATGTCAAGTGTAGCTTGATTGCTGGTTTGATCTTTATTGGATTCTTCTTTAGGTGGAGCTCGTCCAATAGAAGCCTGGGAAGGAGATGTAGTTATTGCTTCAACCTGATTTGGTTGCGATGAAGGCTTTGAAGCATCTGTTGGTGTTGTAGTTGTGCTTTGGGATAGAGGGGTTGATCCTTTTGAAATTTCTATAGTTTGTCCAATAGAAGCCTGGGTAGGAGATGTAGTTATTGCTTCAACCTGATTTGGTTGTGATGAAGACTTTGAAGTATCTGCTGGTGTTGGAGTTGTGCTTCGGGACAAAGGGGTTGATCCTTTTAAAATTTCTGAAGTTTGTCCAATAGAAGTTTGGGTAGGAGATGCAATTACTGCTTCAACCTGATTTGGTTGCGATGAATGCTTTGAAGTATCTGTTGGTATTTGAGTTGTGCTTTGGGATAAA